TCAATAAATACTTTGTTCTTAAAGCTGGTATTTGGATTAGGCAGGTTGGCACTATTGCCGGGAAAATTTTCAAAAAGGATACATCATATATTGACCACATGGCAAAGTCGGCACAAAAGGTATCATATTAAAACTAATAAATTTTCTGTGACTTTGGACTACAATCTGATTTAAGCGACTGTGATTTGAATTTGTACTGTTAATAAATATATATCATATTGGAAAATATAATAAGGAGTATTCTTTATTGTATTTTGGAAAACTGTTCAGCTCAAACTCATCCTAATAAGATAAGTGGGACGAATTACGAAAGACACGTGATATTGTGCGATTACATCAACAATATTAACATTACAGATAACTACTTTAGTGCAAGAATATTTTTCATAATATCAATTAGAAAGGGTGAAAAAATTTGCTTAAAATAATGTCGAAGCAGTAGCTAGTGTGATTTCTCTGTGCAAAGTGGTGTAATGCGCCAGAAACGTGTATAATTTGCTGTTGAATTTCTTGTGGTGTCCATTGGTCACAATATCCAAAAGGAACTGTTGAAGTAAGGTGTATGACTATATAAATAGAGGGGCCGTTTCTCTCAAATTCAGTGAGAAAATTAGCATGTCTTTTTACAGAAACATATAGAGTTGTAAAGGGATCTGAAAAATACTTTTCTTAAAAGATCACTCTGTGTGTGTGTGTGTGTGAAGGGTTCAGGTATGGATACAAGAAAACATGAGTATAATGGAGAAAATATTTTTGAAGAAAATTCTGTTGATTGGAGAGGAAGGCCTTCCAACCCAGTTAAGCATGGTGGCATGAAAGCTGCTTCCTTTGTTCTAGGTCTCTCTCTCTCTCTCTCTCTCTGTGTGTACAGATAAGAATAAACTTCAAGGTCCAAAATCTTGAAAAGAAATTTTCCTTGGATTTTCCGTTTGTTTATTGTTACTTAATTTTGTCTTCTGTGTGTACATGTGTCTGTATCTGTTTATAAAGTTTTGTCTTTGTTCAGGGCTTCAAGGATTTGAGATAATGGCAATAGCAGCAGTTGGGAACAACCTCATAACTTATGTGATAAATGAAATGCACTTTTCCCTGTCAAAATCTGCAAACATTGTGACTAACTTTATAGGAACTATTTTCATCCTTGCACTCCTTGGAGGCTACCTTTCTGATTCTTATCTTGGTTGTTTCTGGACCCTGCTTATCTTTGGCTTTGTCGAATTTTCGGTAAGTCTCTCTCTCACCCTTCTCTTTTTCACATTTTTCATTAAACCGACTTCTCTGAAGCTTAAACTATTAGATACAGTTTAGATTCATTTCTCCCTCATGCAAAATCGTAGGGTTTCATACTGCTGTCAGTGCAAGCTCATCTGCCTCAACTAAAACCTCCCAAATGCAACATGTTACTTGATGGAGACCACTGTGAAGAAGCGAAGGGATTCAAGGCCTTTATATTTTTTGTGGCCCTTTATTTGGTGGCCTTAGGAAGTGGTTGTGTTAAGCCCAACATGATAGCTCATGGTGCTAACCAATTCAATGATTCAAAGCAATCCAAGAAACTTTCCAGATACTTCAATGCTGCCTACTTTGCCTTCTCCATGGGTGAACTTGTTGCCTTGACCGTCCTAGTTTATGTTCAAACACATTCTGGAATGGATGTAGGATTTGGCGTCTCGGCTGCAGCCATGGCTATGGGACTGATAAGTTTGATTTGTGGTACAGTTCTTTATAAGAGCAAACCTCCTCAAGGAAGCATCTTGATCCCTATTGCACAAGTAATGCCTCTCTTATTTTACCAACCTGCGTTTTACATACCTATCAATTTTCTGACTTATATTTTCCGTCGCTGAAGACTTTACCAACAACAAACTGGGCATTAGCATTGGAAATTTCCGTCGCTAGCGCTTTTTGTTTCCTAGTGGAGGGGTTATCTTATTTTGTTTCTAAAATTTGAGAAACTTTTGGATATACATCTTTAAAAACTCCTCCACACTTAATTTAGTGACAATATTATTAACATATATGTAGTTGGTTGTGACCTTGAGTAACGTTTTCCTATTATTTTATGCCAATTTGGTGTCATATTTTGAATGAAATTTATGTATTTTAATATTGATATGCTGAAAGAAACTATTTGATTCTTGTAATTAAGAATGCAATCTGGTTCTTTAGTGCTAATTAGAAATTAAATAATCCTTCATTTGTTGAATAAAATAAGCTCATTTGATCCAAGTGCGCTGACCTCTGATTCATATTCTTCGAAAAAGTTCATAATTGATGCACCAAATTATAATACATGTTCGTATGTCGGAAGATTTGGCACTTTGTTGATAATTTATTTTTATTTTTATTTATAATATCAGGTATTTGTGGCTTCAACTTTAAAGCTAAAGCAAGTGGATTCATCTGATCCTCGGGTGCTTCATTGGAACCAATCCAAGGAACAGCCTAATGGTGAAAGTACCAACAATCTTTATCCGTCTGAAAGATTCAGGTATCAGTTTTGTTTTTCAAATAATTCATATATAAAGATTTAGCCGACAATTTATATGACGAATTTTTAAGTATCTGTCGTGTTTCAACTGTCACGCAGATTCTTGAACAAGGCTTGCATTAAAGTTGAAGATGGAAAGGAAAGTCCATGGAGACTGTGCACAGTAAACCAAGTTGAACAAGTGAAGATATTGCTTTCAGTTATTCCTATATTTGCATGCACAATTGTTTTCAATACAATACTTGCACAATTACAGACATTTTCAGTCCAACAAGGGAGTGCAATGGATACCCACCTAAAATCTTTCCATATTCCTCCAGCTTCTCTTCAGGCCATTCCTTACATAATGCTAATCTTTATAGTACCTCTTTACGATACATTCTTCGTCCCTTTTGCTCGAAAAATCACCAAGCACGACTCCGGGATCACCCCTCTACAGAGAATAGGATTTGGCCTATTCATGGCAACTTTTTCAATGATCTCAGCTGCCCTAATGGAGAACAAGAGAAGGAATGCTGCAGTAAATTCGAACAAAATAATATCCATCTTTTGGATAACGCCGCAGTTTTTGATCTTCGGGTTATCAGAAATGTTTACTGCGGTTGGGCTTATTGAATTCTTCTACAAGCAGTCATTAAAAGGGATGCAATCATTTTTGACAGCCATAACTTACTGTTCATACTCATTTGGCTTTTATTTAAGCTCGGTACTCGTGTCTCTTATCAATAAGGTGACTTCAAAATCTTCCCCTGGTGGTGGATGGCTCAGTGATAACAATCTCAACAAAGATAGATTGGACTACTTTTATTGGATGCTAGCAGTTCTGAGCTTCCTCAACTTTCTCAACTATCTCTTTTGGGCAAAATGGTATTTTCACAACAATCGATCTCCTGCCGCCTCACTGCAGCTTGAATCTAACGCCCCAAAAATTGCAGGAGATGACAATATACCTTAAGATACAATTATATGATTCCAATGGGAAGTTAGAATTCACTTGCCCCTGAAAGTCTTGTATTAAGAATAGAGAAATCTTGAGAAAAGAAGGAAAAAAATAATAATAATAATAAATAATGCCAAAGCCTATTAGGACATTGGCATTTGTGTTGATCCATAGAAAAATTAGTGAAATTAATAATTTTACTTTTTTACCAGGAATTTCAGTCCGTCAAAATTCTGGTCCCTCTTCCGAATATCTATAAAGAACGATGGATATATCGTCCAGTCGCAATCAATACTACAACTTAGAACGAGACATCTAGCTAGAAATATAGCATCATGCATCCATTAGCAAAGGTTCATTGCATATTGCTTGGATACATGAGTGTCAATTCCTTGATCACAGAACATGCACGAAACTAGCTAGATAATGCTCTCTACGTTTTGGATAAAAGGCCCCTCATCTCCTCTCTTTCACTAGCTACCTAGGGCCATATGTAAATTTGTGCATGTTCATGGAACATAATTATGAAACCCACTCCAATTAAAGTCGACAGGATGATGCCCTCATTAAATTCTTGTGTTTATTCAATGAATAATGATATACCAAATTTTTACATAGGGACATGTCTGGAACATGTAGTGGATATTGGCCCTATCGTAAATAGAGGCATAATAATACTAATCGACATTGCTGCTCAGCTTCAGCGCTGGGAGTTGAACGTCGTCTGACGGGTGCTGTATGGAATCCACTCGAGAGGATGAAGATTGCATGAATTCTCGTTCTTGTTTTTGCCTTCTTTTATCCTTTGCCTTGTTTTTTATTTACATTTTGTATTTTAAAAAGTAAGGGTAGATTGGTCCTTTTCATCGAAGTTGGTATTTATTGCTATCTTATCTATAAAATTGAAAAGTTGGAATGGTGCTATCAAATAAAGGTTGGGGATTAATGTAAATCTAGGACCATTGATTCAGGGGTATTGATTTAACTTTTCCTTTTTAAAAATTGGAGAAAGATTTTCTATTTTGTAAAAATTCAAATGTTTCATTGAATATCAATAAAAGTTGACGCAATTTTTTTTTTTAAAAAAATGTTAGTGATGAGAAAATAAATAAAGAAAAATGCTTCTTCAATCAAGTAATAATAGTTTTGAATTTAGCATATTGTAAGAGAAAAATATTAATACGTTCTTCCTCTGTTTTATTTATTTTGTAATATACAAAATAGCGACATATATCGTGTTAATTCTCACTTTAAAAAAAAATAAAAAAAAATAGTCAAGTCTATCGCCTCACCTAACACCCGTTCCTGTGTGGATATTTCAATGTGGATTAATGATGACAAATTCGTGAATTAACGTTCTACTTTAAATGTTGCTGAATTTTTTGTCCAATTTTCACATGAGGTTATCTATTGCTGAATTAAATGTTCCAATTATTTTCTTTAATGGTGTCCTTGAGTTTTGTTATAATCCGGATCAGATTTGAAACCACTTTATTGAAAGCGGAACAGTTTTGATATCAATTTGTTGAGAATCCGATCAAATAATTAAAGAACGAAAAAAAATATGGGTAATATGAAAATAATGGATCACAAAAAATATAAGATTTACATGGAAACTCAAATTCGAGAAAACCACATATTACATGGCAACAGGACGAAAACTACAAAAAAAAAAAAAAGGAAAATAGTCTAATCATCTGCAGTTTCAATGTTCGCTCCTTTGAGATGTAGATGTTTTTCCCTCTTCTGAAAATCGGTCAGTCCTTTTCCACTTCCAGTCACACCAACCTTCCCGGTAGGATCTTCCGGAGATTTGAATATGCTCTCTCGCTTTCGACCCGAAAAGAAACCAACCTAGGACATAAAATCAAAAATCAAATGTTATACAATAACAAGCATGAATATTGAACAGTGAAGAAAAGAGGAACCTCGTCCAAATTCCAAAGACAAATCTCTCTATCTTTTGCATCAATATTTAAGTATATATGAAAATATGATTTAGGAAGAGAACGAAGCAAGATAGGAAGGTTGGTGTGTTATCAGTATTAGCCAGTCAGGGAAAATAGTCTTTCATCTTCTCCAATCAATGGCTTGCAAATGCATCTGAAGCATTTTCGTATATAAACCACACGTTTTCCAAGTTGGCAATTTACATTTAGGTGAACACATGCTGTGGATGTACAAGAATAGCTGGGCGAACGTACCTTCTTAGCCCGGCCTTTAGTTGTCTGGAATTGCTGCCATGCATTCTGTCTTTTATTCTGTGTTGCCTCTTTCTCTTCCATCCGCATCTTGGACTTGAAAGCATGTATCTTTTTACGTTTAGCAGATTTCTGTGAGAAGCATACATAAAAATAATTACAAGTCCAACAAGTGAAACAAAGCCGCAATTAAATATAAGATGTAGGACAAGAAAAAATATAAATTCAAGATATCAGGCGAAGGCGAGAAGAATAGGATTCTAAGAGATTTGTGATATCAGCCACTAAAGCAACTATCATGTCGCTGCTACAATGTGTGTCACATAGACTCCAGCCCCAAAAACGTAGTTAAATAGAAAATAAAATCCAAGACATACCACATCTTCAGGGTCATCAGGTTCAATACGAAGTTTTGTGGGCAAAGTCTTGGAGTGGAAGTCTTTGGCAGCAGCTTGGGCAATCTTACGTTTGAGGGCTTCTTTTGTAGCCTCAGCTACCTTTTCAGCTTCCAGCAAAGGATCGACAGTTCCTTCTTGAATTGGTCTGACATTATCAGGATCCACCTGCAATCCCCCACAATCCAAAGCCCATTTTACATTTAGTTTGGTTAAAAAATAAGGGTCGACAAAAGAAAGGCATAAATGAAAAAGAGAGAATATTGATCAGATCTTGCCACTCGGTCCTATCAAACTTTTTCATGGAAAGACTTTCCACGAATGCTTCCAAAAAGTCCATCACTTAAAAATTGCAGTTTTCTGCTGCATTCCTCCTTTCATATTTTATTAGTAGCTCGTAAGTTAAGTTGTATTTTTAACATTTAATTTGTCTCCATTTCACATTGAAATCAATTTTAATCTTAAAAATTAATTTTTTTCACAAAATATGCCAACAGCAATTAAAAACAGGATATTGGGCAGTAAGTCACTGGATCTATGAATTCAGATGTTGATTTCACAATATTAGAGAACTTTTTACCTCTAGTATCTTAACCCTGTTTGGCCTCCATTTTCTAACACTCATTTTCCTCAAATTCATTTCCAACCACACATTTTATGAGACCTCCATTTTCTAAATCTCATTTTCCTCAAATTCATTTTCAATCATATATTTTATGGAACTCACAACTTTTATCAACTTTCTACCACATATATAAACTTTTATCAAAATCTATTAAAAATCTAATATTTGGCTAAAATCCCAATCCCCTGTTTGGCCCCCATTTTCTAAAGCTCATTTTTCCCAAAATTCATTTTCAACCACATATTTAATAGAACCCACAACTTTTATCAAATTTTCAACCTCATATTTCATCATTTTTTTTATTATCAAAATCTACTATAAATTTGATTTTTAACTAAACCAAACAAGGGCTTAATAAGGTAAAGAGAATAAAATTGAACTTGAAGCTCAGTAAGTAAAAGATGACAAAATCAATACAAAAAGATGAACTTCAAAGCCAAATGAACTAAATATTAAGCCTATATTTGGATACAATTTAGAAATTGGTACAAAAATTCAGTCAAAGTCAAATATTAATTTCGATTATACATTGATAACTAGTACTCATTATTATCAACACATTTCATGAGACCCACTTTTATTCCTCTTTATAAATTGATTTATAAATTTGCCAATTAGAGACTAAATATGCTTTTTTAGCCAATAAGGTTTCTTCAAAAGTATCTTTGGAACTTGATTATCCTGAAAAGTTTTGATTGGGCTACTGACATTGAATAACATAGCAGATATTAAGTTTCACAATGGATATGAATATCAAATGACACCCATAACATAACTTCCTTAACATCTTATTTCAGGGAGAAGAGTGTTATCTAAGGAGTGGTCACCTTCTATTCTAGTTTTATGTTTGTAATCACAATCCAGCCATGTTGATCCAGCTTGAGGTTATACAACAGTAGACACAGAAATTATCGGAAGACAGGTCGAGCAAGATAATGTAAAGGTCATTTCCAACTGGTAAAACTAAAGCAGAAATTAGTTATACAGATCATAGAGTTGAAATTATACCTCTTCCTGGTTGCCCCAGCCATCATAACGAACATAATAACCATTTGGAGTAAGTGCCTCAACTGTTGCAGTATACCTGAATATTCAACTAATCAACCACGGAGGAGAATAATTTGATTACAGCATACCATATATTTCATGAATTTTACATACCACTCTCCATCTTCGCTCCAAACTGCTTGCACTTTGGTTCCAACAGGAAACCTATTGGTATGATCAATTATAGACATTGAATTCTGGAAATCAAGAAATAGAAAAAATTAGTTTTTTAAAAAGTACTAGCGCCATGAATATAATAAACCGTCAAAGCAACTAAAGAATGAGAAGCATATAATATCATACCAAAAGCATGTCATGAAACATTGTCCAACAAAAACAAGCACAAAGAGAATAACTAAAGAATGAAAAACAAAGACTGTGTTCACGCTAACTGGAAATAGATTTCAGTTGGTATTTTAACCGATAAGATTGCATCCCACAAATGCTTTGGCAACATGAACATTTCAAAATAATCCATCTTTACATTTCTTAATGGACGGTAACGGAAAAGAAATTTGGCCAAGACACCAAGTTTCCTCGCTCTGGAAAAGGATTCCTGACATAGGTTGGAATTATGAACTTTGCATATAATATCATAAGAATAGAAAATTGATCTTCATCATATTTATATTAATTTGCAGGAAGATTATGCCTCTCCTTGTGGGAATCAAGCCCAAGCATAATAATGATCTCCATTTTAAACTTAAAAAAAAAAAAAAAAAAACACACACACACACACACACACAAAATCTTCAGGAAAAAATAAAATAGAATTTGTGGGATATCTACCGCATTAAAGGTGCTTCCAGAATTATGCATGCTAGGAGATGCTTCACTAGTCGTACTGATACCAACACCAGAACCATCATTTTGTTTTGCAGTTGCCAGAAGCTCTTCTGTCAAAGCAATTACCTGCAGTCATAGAAATTAGCCAAGTCTAAACTAAAACCACAAATTATTTTCCCTGCAATAAACGAAATAATTGATGAATTTTGCACTTAGAATTCAAAGTGACATCTGAAATCACAGGAAAGAGCAGGCTGTCCATCACCAAACATAGCACACCTGCAATGGAACCAAGATAGAAGTGATGGACATCTTTATAAAGTCTCTCACTCCAAAAGTCTGTAAATTTCTCCCACTCCTCTATATCAGGGGTGAGCATTTGTTTTAGTGGAATAAAATATCCTCACCTTCGAAAACCAAGGTAAAAAGATATCTCTTCAGTCACAGGTAGTTCCTTGACACTGCTTGTTCGAGCAATAATAATATTTGAGAAAGAGGGAAACAGATTGCAAATGAAAAAATAACAATCACCTATACTCAGATTTCTTAAACTATTATACTTAATTGTATTGACTTCCACTTCTCAGAAAAAAATGATCAGACACAACTCCAGGAGCTTAATATTTGCCAGTACCAGGGATGTGAAATAGAGAACTTTAACCAAAGAAAGTAATCCCCTCATCCCAAAAACGAATCAAAAGAATAACTAATAAAGAAAGGCACCTCCACAAGCTCCTTTTCCATGTCTAAATACTCAGAGTTCCCAGGTTCATCATGCAATAGGTTGCGGACCTGATCCATATAAAAGGCAAATGTAGTCGAAGGAATTAGTCACAAGTTCCTAATAACAAATTGGAAGTTATAATCTTAAAAATGCAGAAAGCAACCCAAAGATAAGAACTAAATGAACATAAGGTGCTTGATGAAAGAAAGCTATGCAAGCATATAGACAGAAAATGCATGCCCATTGAAATGTAAAATTTCTTATCCTCTTAACAGGAATGAGGGAACAAGCAATGAGACAAATACCAGAAAAAGAAAAATTGCCAGTGACACTGACCTTGATAGAAAAAGAAAAATCACAGGAACAATATAAGAGAACCGAAATGGAAGAATGATTATAAAGATGTTTCCATGGAGTGTCACCACTCATACTTTAATGAAACTCCAATTTTAAGCAGGCTATTTCATATGATAATATGTAGCACTTTATTAACATTGAATTTTTTAAGATAAAAAATAATTTACCAACATAGGCAATGTCAATCAATTTTCTCACCTCTACTTAACAACGAATCAGCATAATTGACTAAAAAACTTAAAAAGTTTAAATCGACCTTCAATTATCACAGAGTTACAATAGCACTCATGAGATGAGCTGGTGTGTCCACAATCAATAAACCTAGCTGGAACTCCGTACTCTCATAAACAAGAATAAGCCCAAAACTTGAACATAAATTAGAAGATGCACAAAAACCTTTTTTTTTTTCACCATGAATTTTAACACCCTGAAAACTATAAAGATGCCATATAAAAGCAAGCTTAACAAACTGGAGATATTGATAATCATAGAAGAAAGAAGTACAAGTGCCAGAATGAGAAACAAAATTTAGCAACTTGGTTTGGGTTCTTGCAAACTGAGATCATGATTGGTGATTCAGTCACTAGCTATAGTGTGGTGTCGACAGGGTGGATTGATCGTAAGGATTATACAGTCTTGATTAATCCTCGTCATTAATCTCAGTGCAAGAATTTGCATTCCACTTTGTGGTATTTATAGTAAAACTTTGATTTCATAGGTCATATTATTGCAGAAAGTGGCACTTCTTGAATGTAAAATCAGGTCATCTTGTGATATATGATTTCAGTCAAGTCATCCAGGAATAACATTTTAAAGACGCTGACTAAGATCAAGCATGAGAAGCTGGAGTCTTTGAAAACCAGGATGGGAAAAAGAGTTTGGTAAATTAAGATGAGAGAAAGGAATGCAGGTGTTAGAATAAATAACAATATTATCCTGCCAATTATATTTTTATTTCTATTTGAGGACGGTACTATGGCCTTTTCCAAGCCATCCTATATCCCGTTACTCTAATTAGGGAGGGTGGAAGACTAAGAATATGGATCTAAAATGGTTTACTGGTCCTCTTCCTTGTCTTTCCCTCCTCCTATCACTTCCTACCAAACAAAAGATTGAGTTTCCTTTCCTCCCCCAAGTCGGTTCTTCTTATCCTTCAATTTTCCACTAGTATTTATGCTAGACAAATCTTAAGAGTTAAATTCCCCTTCAAATATTTTCTAGGGACACGCTTATATGTATGCTAAAATAAATGCAAGATTCTTTTAGCAAGGATTTTAGAGTAAACTAACAAAAAAATATAAAATCATCTTCAGCCTGCATGTGACATAATCATGCTATTGAGAATTACATATTTCAAACATTTTACCATGAAATACACAAATTAAATAAACAAGAAAAAAATACTTAACACGTTAAAATAAACTCTTCCTGAAATTTTCATCGAGAAAAATAACTTAAATAAGCTTCTATTTTATAAACAACAATAAACTCCAAGGATCAAAAAGTTAACTGTTCAAGCTTGCAAATAGAAAATCATACCAAGAAAAAAGAATTAACTTGCATATGGAGTAAATAAGCTTAGCTCAACTAAAGCAACGCAACTATGAAAAACTATACAGAACTCAAATATTCAGGCTTAAAATTACGAAATCCTACAGAAGAAACCTCAAATTTCACATAAAATTAATTAGCCTCACAGTTTCCAAAAGCCCTACGGTAGATAACTAAACTACTATCTGATTGACTAATTACGACTTCAATTATCCAAAACTTAAAATTCCAAACTAGTGAAAGCAAATTATTCAAAAACCCTAATTTCCATCGAGGAAGAGCGTGGACGCCAGTAACAATCATAATATACATCTCAATCACTATATATGTATACATACAGAATAGTACCTGTTGTAGCTGCTCTTTGTAAGTGGAAAGGTTGGAAGCGAGTTCTTCGATGCTAACCTCTTCACCTCCTCCGCTTTCCATTTATTTTGTAATTTTATAAATCAAATTCTTCGAATTTAACAGGTATGCAAATGGAAAACTAATGGATTGTTGTTACTGGATAGAAGTAATACAACTGCTTTTCTGAAGCAGAGAACGAGAGAAGAGGAACCCTTGTGTCGAAGGGAAAAGCCCGAATGACAATTTATTGAGGAAATTGATTAGAGAGGATCAGGTTCGATTTTGAAGAGAGAGAGTGGAAAAGGACCAACTTACACATTTACATAGAATAGCCTTTTTTAATATTCCTTTTGTTTGTGTATGTCCTTGCACTTCTCTTCTGTACAGTGAGATGAGAAAATGGATAATGTTCACTGCACATTTGAGATTTATAATAATGTCAATTTTTTGACAAATATATTCTTTTATCTATAGAATAAAGATAGAGAAGTTCTCATCAAATTAGATAAAATTAATGAGAAATTTGTCTGTCTATTTTATGACCTTTATTTTCGTTTTTACTTGAATTTCGATAGATATAGACATTTTCAAGCAAGGTTGATTGAGAATATTTGATCATTTTTAGACTTGTCCTCTCTTCTTTTTATACGAATTTGAAGCAGCTCGATATTTACGTCAAACTAAGAAGAATTAAGCTGAGTGTACAACAATTGTTGATAGCCCACTCTTGTGAGTGGGCTCGACGATTATTTTAATAGTGGAGTCCACTTGTTTGATGTGAGAGTGCTGTAAAAAATAATGTAAAAAAGTGCTATAATTGTAGCACAATTGAACTAAGAAAGGATGACATATTGTCAATCTCATCTAAACACTTAGGACCCGTTTGGTTTGTATTTAAGTTTTTTAGTTTCGAATTCATTTTCAATTTTCCATTTGAAAATCTATATTAAGCATGTTAAAAACGCATTTAATTTTTCGTTCTCAAAAATTAGTTTTTAAAACAAAAAATTCGAAATATGTTTGATTTGCCATTTTGAAAAAATATTTTATGACATTTTATTGCAAAAAATTTGATTATTTAGTAAAATAGAATAATTTTATGTTAATATATTATATTAAAATTGATGAATTTTACAATTTTTCCACTAAAAAGGTAAAATAATAACATATAATAAATTAAGTTGACAAATATAAAAAATTAAATATGTGAACTTAACTTTTTTATTTGTATTAATTTAAGTGTTTTAAGTGACATCAAAAATGCATTTTGAATTGGTTTCGAAAATGAACTTTTAAAATTCCAAACCGAGTGTTTTGCAAAACTAAAAACAACAAACCAAACGCAACCATAGTCTCTCTCGACGTTTGTATCTAGGTCAATGACGGTAATGATAACTCAAAAAACTTGCACCAAATAATTTCCAAATTGCATTAACCCAGGCTGCTCACGGCTTTTGCACATTCACAGAACGGCCTCTGTTTAAAGGCCTCGCCATTATTCTGTAATTTTAGCCATTTTCTTACCCCATTTTTCATTTTTAGAAGAAATTTTCTAATGATGAACCCTTTTATTTTTACTTATTTATTTGATAATCTCTAATCGAAATCGATTTCCTAAACACGGTGCTTTTAAGCACCGGATGACATGACACGCTATAATAGGTGACGTAATCAGTTTTTTGTAACCAATTATTGTCTCCAACCACCTATTGTTGTAACGTCCAAGTCACCCGAGTGACAATTTAGTGCTTAATGACTACCACCAAAAAATATAAAATAAATAAACACTCAACATTCTTTCACGACAAAGCAATTACAAAATATCAACCACATGACAAATAATATCTAATAAAAGTCATTGCTATAAGATGCAGGAAATGAGTTTTGGGGAACAATCCAGTTTACTGTCTAGTCTTTTTTACAGGCTCACAAGCTGGCATCTAATTTAATTATCACTCCCCTTCGCGAGGCCTATAACCTTTTCCTCTGTATAGAATACTCTCGTCCCATAAGAATATGGGGAAAAAAAGCTGGTTTCTGAGGTTCGTTGGCAACAACAGGAAATGTGGGCTGAGACAACTTTACTCATTCCGAATGGAAGAGTATTTCTCCCACATTGATTGGGACTTGGAAATTTCAACCATGAGGTTCTTAAATTTGTGGCTGCAGTCTCCTCCACTGCAAATGTAGAGGAGGGAGAAAGAAATCAATCAAGAGCTGCACTTACAAATATTAATATAATTCGCGATCCCAGCTATCGTAAATAGAGGCATAATAATACTAATCGACATTGCTGCTCAGCTTCAGCGCTGGGAGTTGAACGTCGTCTGACGGGTGCTGTATGGAATCCACTCGAGAGGATGAAGATTGCATGAATTCTCGTTCTTGTTTTTGCCTTCTTTTATCCTTTGCCTTGTTTTTTATTTACATTTTGTATTTTAAAAAGTAAGGGTAGATTGGTCCTTTTCATCGAAGTTGGTATTTATTGCTATCTTATCTATAAAATTGAAAAGTTGGAATGGTGCTATCAAATAAAGGTTGGGGATTAATGTAAATCTAGGACCATTGATTCAGGGGTATTGATTTAACTTTTCCTTTTTAAAAATTGGAGAAAGATTTTCTATTTTGTAAAAATTCAAATGTTTCATTGAATATCAATAAAAGTTGACGCAATTTTTTTTTTTAAAAAAATGTTAGTGATGAGAAAATAAATAAAGAAAAATGCTTCTTCAATCAAGTAATAATAGTTTTGAATTTAGCATATTGTAAGAGAAAAATATTAATACGTTCTTCCTCTGTTTTATTTATTTTGTAATATACAAAATAGCGACATATATCGTGTTAATTCTCACTTTAAAAAAAAATAAAAAAAAATAGTCAAGTCTATCGCCTCACCTAACACCCGTTCCTGTGTGGATATTTCAATGTGGATTAATGATGACAAATTCGTGAATTAACGTTCTACTTTAAATGTTGCTGAATTTTTTGTCCAATTTTCACATGAGGTTATCTATTGCTGAATTAAATGTTCCAATTATTTTCTTTAATGGTGTCCTTGAGTTTTGTTATAATCCGGATCAGATTTGAAACCACTTTATTGAAAGCGGAACAGTTTTGATATCAATTTGTTGAGAATCCGATCAAATAATTAAAGAACGAAAAAAAATATGGGTAATATGAAAATAATGGATCACAAAAAATATAAGATTTACATGGAAACTCAAATTCGAGAAAACCACATATTACATGGCAACAGGACGAAAACTACAAAAAAAAAAAAAAGGAAAATAGTCTAATCATCTGCAGTTTCAATGTTCGCTCCTTTGAGATGTAGATGTTTTTCCCTCTTCTGAAAATCGGTCAGTCCTTTTCCACTTCCAGTCACACCAACCTTCCCGGTAGGATCTTCCGGAGATTTGAATATGCTCTCTCGCTTTCGACCCGAAAAGAAACCAACCTAGGACATAAAATCAAAAATCAAATGTTATACAATAACAAGCATGAATATTGAACAGTGAAGAAAAGAGGAACCTCGTCCAAATTCCAAAGACAAATCTCTCTATCTTTTGCATCAATATTTAAGTATATATGAAAATATGATTTAGGAAGAGAACGAAGCAAGATAGGAAGGTTGGTGTGTTATCAGTATTAGCCAGTCAGGGAAAATAGTCTTTCATCTTCTCCAATCAATGGCTTGCAAATGCATCTGAAGCATTTTCGTATATAAACCACATGTTTTCCAAGTTGGCAATTTACATTTAGGTGAACACATGCTGTGGATGTACAAGAATCGCTGGGCGAACGTACCTTCTTAGCCCGGCCTTTAGTTGTCTGGAATTGCTGCCATGCATTCTGTCTTTTATTCTGTGTTGCCTCTTTCTCTTCCATCCGCATCTTGGACTTGAAAGCATGTATCTTTTTACGTTTAGCAGATTTCTGTGAGAAGCATACATAAAAATAATTACAAGTCCAACAAGTGAAACAAAGCCGCAATTAAATATAAGATGTAGGACAAGAAAAAATATAAATTCAAGATATCAGGCGAAGGCGAGAAGAATAGGATTCTAAGAGATTTGTGATATCAGCCACTAAAGCAACTATCATGTCGCTGCTACAATGTGTGTCACATAGACTCCAGCCCCAAAAACGTAGTTAAATAGAAAATAAAATCCAAGACATACCACATCTTCAGGGTCATCAGGTTCAATACGAAGTTTTGTGGGCAAAGTCTTGGATTGGAAGTCTTTGGCAGCAGCTTGGGCAATCTTACGTTTGAGGGCTTCTTTTGTAGCCTCAGCTACCTTTTCAGCTTCCAGCAAAGGATCGACAGTTCCTTCTTGAATTGGTCTGACATTATCAGGATCCACCTGCAATCCCCCACAATCCAAAGCCCATTTTACATTTAGTTTGGTTAAAAAATAAGGGTCGACAAAAGAAAGGCATAAATGAAAAAGAGAGAATATTGATCTGATCTTGCCACTCAGTCCTATCAAACTTTTTCATGGAAAGACTTTCCACGAATGCTTCCAAAAAGTCCATCACTTAAAAATTGCAGTTTTCTGCTGCATTCCTCCTTTCATATTTTATTAGTATCTCGTAAGTTAAGTTGTATTTTTAACATTTAATTTGTCTCCATTTCACATTGAAATCAATTTTAATCTTAAAAATTAATTTTTTTCACAAAATATGCCAACAGCAATTAAAAACAGGATATTAGGCAGTAAGTCACTGGATCTATGAATTCAGATGTTGATTTCACAATATTAGAGAACTTTTTACCTCTAGTATCTTAACCCTGTTTGGCCTCCATTTTCTAAAACTCATTTTCCTCAAATTCATTTCCAACCACACATTTTATGAGACCTCCATTTCCTAAATCTCATTTTCCTCAAATTTATTTTCAATCATATATTTTATGAAACCCACAACTTTTATCAACTTTCAACCACATATATAAACTTTTATCAAAATCTATTAAAATCCCAATCCCCTGTTTGGCCCCCATTTTCTAAAGCTCATTTTTCCCAAAATTCATTTTCAACCAAATATTTAATGGAACCCACAACTTTTATCAAATTTTCAACCTCGTATTTCATCATTTTTTTTTATTATCAAAATCTACTATAAATTTGATTTTTAACTAAACCAAACAAGGGCTTAATAAGGTAAAGAGAATAAAATTGAACTTGAAGCTCAGTAAGTAAAAGATGACAAAATCAATACAAAAAGATGAACTTCAAAGCCAAATGAACTAAATATTAAGCCTATATTTGGATACAATTTAGAAATTGGTACAAAAATTC